GGCAGGTTACATGAAATCCATTGGTGATAGATTAGGGAGGTGGGAGAAAGCAAAGGGTGGGGGGAGAACCTCTGGAATTGGATAAAAAGTAAAATGATAGACACTTACTTAGGTGGGGGCAGGATATTAACAGTCAACAATTACCATGATAACAATAACAACCAGGAAATTCATGGTCTCCTGTCCTGCCACCCAGGGCATTTGGTTGTGCCCCAGGGGTAGGGGTAAGTATGGGGAATTACATTTCATAGGTCTGTTAACTTAGATGCAAAAAGACAATAGGCTCAATTAGGGTAAAAATTTACTTCCTCAGGGAAAATACCAGCCTAGGACATGACTCCCCACCATCACTGCTTTTAGTTAAGGCTTTAATTTCAGACCATCCTTTGTGGTGACTTTAGGTCTTTAAGTTTGCAAGACTGCCATGCAGGCCTTCCTGAGCTTGTCAGGTCAGCATGTGGCCTTTTTAAATTTTTTTCGTCCACAAGATAAACACAAATTATCTACATATATATAAAAGCTCCCCGCCCCCCCCCCCCCAAGCTGGTTACCCTCTGTGTGTGGGGCAACCGGCGGGGCAGGGGCCTTGGCCTGGCGCTGCCCATGTCTGCCGCCACCCACCCTGGTTCCCTGTTCCCCATCAGGCGATTGGAGCCAGTCGGTCGGTCAGTCGGTCGGGGAAGGGACCAAGAGGTTGGCCCGCAGGCCTTGATCAGGCAATCAATTGGGGCCTGTGGGCTGGGGACAGCTCCTGCATTGAGTGTCTGCCCCCTGGTGGTCAGTGCACATCATAGCGACCTGTCATTCTGCTGTTCGGTTGATTTGCATATTACCTTTTTATTATATAGGACTAGTGACCCAGCACGTGAAATCGCGCGAGACCCAGGACCCCAGACCCTGCCGCGCCCCGGGACTCCCCCAAGTCCCGTTGTGCCGCGAGACCCAGAGTCAAGTCCCTGCCCACCCATGTGCTCCTCGCCGCGAATGCCGCCTCCTGGTGATCGGTCTTTGGTTATTACGGCGTTACGACCACTGGGTTTTTATTATATAGATGTTTGATCTCTATTAAGAATTATTTTGTATTTAAGACATTTCTTATGAACACATGACTAAATGAGTGTTATGTGTACAAACAATATATTCACATATCCTACAGATATCTACATGCACCACAGAGATAAAAAATTGGGCTCCACTTATCCATCATACAAACGAACAGAACTACAACTTAGTTACAACTGCATGCATTGCGGCGTTCACGGAGAACAGCAGATTTAAGGTAGAGAAGCAACACATTCAAGCTTTCTCTACAAAGAGTCCCTTTTAGACTTTAACCCATGGGCGTGGAGTAAAATACCGGGTATGAAGGATGGAGGTGACACATCGGGTTATTTTCCCCAAAGGGTTAACGGGAGGAGGTGGGTGGGGCAGCCAGCTGGAGCCGTGTGACCTTGACCAAAGTCTGAGCCGCCGGGAGCCCCAGCTGCCTCCCTCAGCAGGGTAAGGATGTCTGCCCCAGGCCAGGGCCTGCGAGAACCGAGAACGGAGATGGTGTGCGCCCGGTAAACAGTGCCCTTGTTACCTAAGGAGGACTGTAGGAAACCTCCCCTCACCACCGTGCCAGGGGGCTCAGGGCAGCGGCAGTGGGGGCAGCTCTGGGAGTAAACCAGTCCCAGCCCAAAGCCCACTGGTGTCTGGGGCCGGGCAGGGGCTCAGGCCCCGAGTGGGCGGGCTGGCTGTGGGCAGGTGGGCCGGGCTAGTTCAGAGTCCGTAAAGCTGGGGTGTAAACTAGCAGGTCCAGCTCCTGGGTGTGGTGGGGCCTGGCTCTTAGCTGCCTGGAAATCAACCTTTGCTCCCACAGACACGGGACGGCGAGCAGGCGCTTGTCAGAGCTGGTCCACAGCTACCCACCGGCTCCGGTCAGCTCCGGACGCCTGGGGACTTCCTTCCCTCACCACCCCCCGTGCCACCTCAGGTCTGCTTTGGGGAAAGCTTGGCAGCGGCTGTGCCAGCTCTGCACCCAGAGCCCACTGCCCGGGTTTCTCTCTCGAGGAGACGGACACTGGGCCAGTGTTCCTCTGCCTGTGGGCGCACAGCTGGCCAGACGTGGTGACATGCTGCACCTCCCGTCTTCTCACTGCCGCTGAGCAGCCAGAGCAGCGTGGGATCGCTGTTTCACAGCTAGGGAAACTGAGGCAGGAGCCACGCCCGCAGCCTGCCGGGAGTGGAGCCAGGGGGCAGAGGCACGCAGGCCAGCTCACCGGCTCACAGCCACAAGCAGACCGGGGAGCACCGTGCTGCTGAGCTCCCAGGAGGCAGCAGCCCTTGTTCTGGGTGAGCTCAGGACCCCGGGGAGGGGAGAGACGGGCTGGAAACCGGAGCCGGGCTGTGTGCCTGGAGACCAGGTGTCGGGGAGACCAGAGGGCCAGCTAGCCAGCCCGGGGAAGGCAGGCAGGCAGAGCAGCACCACAGAGGCTCGGGGGCCTGCCCGACCTCTGCCTGTCCTGAGCCTCCATCCTGCTGGGCAAGGGGAGGGGTGCCCACAATAAATGCTGGTTTCCTCCCCAGGGCAGTGCCCTGTGGCCAGCAACGAGGCTCCCAGGAGCTGGTGTGCCCGTGGGAGAGGTAGGACCACGACAGAGAGCCGGACGTCCTGCACTGCCAGCTCGTCACCACCCAGAACCACGCGTCACTGCTGACCGGGTCTGTCTGTTGTGGGCTGGGTGAGGCGGGCGCGTCCGGATGGCTGGCGCGTGGCGGACCCCACGGCCCTGAAGGGTCCTTCCTGGTCTCCCGCTTCTGGTGGCTCCGAGGCTCCTGGCTGTGGCCGCAGCCTCGTCTATGCCGCTGTCTCGCCGGCCGTCCCTGCGTTTGTCTCCTTTTCTCTCTTCCTCCTCCTGGAGGGTGACTTGCGTTGGATTGAGGGCCCACCCTGACCCAGGGGACCTCACGCCCAGCTCTTCACCTTGATTAGATCTGCAAAGACTCTCATTCCAAATGAGGTCACATTCGAGGTTCCTGGTGGGCACATCTCTTGGGGTCACTCTTCAACCCGCTAGAGTTAACAAAACACCCCAATTCTCTGCTAAGCAAATTCATTCCTGAAAAACAAAAATTACCCCCCTTCTCATGGCCACAGGTGCCCCTGAGCATCTAGAATGGGCTTAGGGGACACAGCCACCTGTCTGCCCGGGAACACCGACAAAACACAATTACCCGCACTCGGCCGTCACTGGAATGCAACAAGTAAAAACAGCTGCTTCTTTAAAACCATGGCTTTTTGCTTTCCTGTTTAAATACATGCTATTATTTAAACAAAACCAGCATAGGACCAGTTAGTGTAACTGGTAGTAGTTATTAATAGCAGGAATCACGAGAAAAAAATAAGGCCTCAGACTGTTGGATGTGACAACGAAAACGGCAAAATAAAGCAACACTGTGCCCCAAAGAACTGTCTGCAGAGACTCACGAAAGCAGACACGATGCTGTGGACACGATCGTGAGAACATCGCCCCTCTGCTGCTTACCTGCACCAGCCTCGAAGCCTGCCTGTGTGGTGGCACTGTCCCCTCCCTCCCCCAACACCGTCCTGGGGTCTCCATCAGCCTGCTGGCCCCTGGGGCCAGCCCACACCACCTGCTCAGCAGACCCTGCAGATCGCTCACTGCATGACGCCCACCCCTCTGAAAAAGTTACACGTCAACAAATCTTTTTCAAAAACCTAATACGAGCAGCCCAACCAGCGTGGCTCAGTGGTTGAGTTTGACCTATGAACCAGGAAGTCACGGTTTGATTTTCCTGACGAAGAGCTACTAAAAGCGTAAATGAACTTGTGTGTGAGGAGGGCGGGGGGCCTGCAGCGTCTCCGGGGGAACTGGGCTGAGAAGCAACCCTGGCACAAAGCTCATTAGGTTTGGTTTTTTAAAATATATTTTTATTGATATCAGAGAGGAAGGGAGAGAGAGATAGAAACATCCATGATGAGAATCACTGATCGACTGCCTCCTGCACGCCCCCTACTGGGGATCGAGCCTGCAACCTGGGCGTGTGCCCTGACCGGGAATCGAACCCAGGACTCTTCAGTCCACAGGCCGACACTCTATCCACTGAGCCAAACCACAAGCCTGTGTGTTTTTCATCTTAAAACCGACAGAGTAACAATGGCTAACATTTAGGAGCTTGGCCTGGCGGGCCTGGCTGGGTGCATTCTTCCAGGTGAGGACCCCGAGGCTGCGGGTGGGGTGCCCACTCTGCTCAGAGTGGGGAGATTAACACGACACCCACGTCCCTGTGACGCCACAGCCGGAGCTTCAGCTGCTGTGCCAACTGCCCCCTCATGACCACAGTCTAGGAAACGTGCAACTATTTAAAAAGTTAAAAACCCGAGATCACTTTGACCCACCACTCGGGTAAATTTTGAGAACATGCTCATGTCTGTGCCGTCCCTCCACTGTGAACACTTATGCTTATTTTTATAGACGGGCAGACCGTGTGAACTATCCATAAACTTTCTCCTCAGGCCGCGGAGACCAGGCCCGGTGAAGAGACCGCACAATTTCTCCCCGTCTCCCCACGGCCTCAATGAAATGCCTGGAAAGCACAAGAAGGCAGGTGGGCAGCGGGGAGAGAGGCACCGGGAGTGAGATTTCAGCAGGCAGAGAAGGAGGAAGGAGGAAGGCGAAGGAGGAGGCGGAGGCGGTGGGGCGGGGCGGGCAGCAGGGGATCAGCCAAGTGGGGTGGGAACAACTGCTCCCTCCCACGCCAGGCAGGCAGCTGGCAGCTGGCTTGGCCCCTGGGCGGCCGTGGCTGGGTTTCCCAGGAAGTCCTTCCTCAGCCTGGCACCAGGGCAGGTCTCCAGCAGCCCCGCCCCCTCCGGGCCAACACCTGCCACAGGAAGCTCCTGCCCACCTTTCCGTGTAGGACGGGGCCTGTCGGGGACACCGAGTTCCCTGGCTAACCCAGTAAGTGCTGAGCGCACACAGACTCCCACTCACACTCACAGTAGGGACATCACATGGTCCAACTGCCCTGGACGACGGACCGTGGCCCTGGCCGGCGGCTCAGCTGGTTGGAGCGTCGTCCTGGGCACCGCAAGGTTGCAGGTTCGAATCCTGGGACATCCACTGAACCTCTCACCAGCCTGCCGTTTCTCAGACACGAGGGCTGGCCCTGATGCTGCATGTCCCTTGCTCATCTGTCCCAGGAGGGGTGAAGCCACCCTAGCCCACCTGTATTTTGCAAAAATACAGAAAGCAGAGTTCCATTTACTCTTTGCCCAGCTTCCCCTGATGTGAGCATCTTATGTAATTTTAGCACAACAGTCAAGGCGAGGGCATGAACGCTGGCACGATCCTCTGTCCGTTTGGGCTGCTATAAAATAACAAAATAAACCACAAACGGTTCTGCGGTTTACGTGTCAGTGCTGGCGGCTGGGGCCCGTCCAGGCCCCGCAGGCGCGGTGTCCGGTGGAGCCGCGGTGATGGCTCCCTTCGCGCCGTGTCCTCGGCGGTGGGAGGGACGAGGGAACCCGGGTCTCTTGTAGAAACAAGGGCGCTGGTCCTATGAGGCCCCCCTCCCAATGCCGTCACCGGGATGAGGCTTTAACGCACGAAGGTCCGCGGGGAGCGGGGAGACGAGCGTTTGGTCCACAGCAACTGCTGCCATGAACTCTGTCCGGAGCCCACGCTGCCCGTGACGTCCTCCTCCCGGGCCTGCCCATCGGGCAGCTCAGGCTCGGCCCGCG